GCCGTCTCTTGTTCATGGAGGGTTGCGCCCAACCAAAAACACACCAACATGAAAATGTCTTGGTTCGCTGGCTTCCTGTTCCTCAGCAATCAATGTGTCAGTGATCAGAGGACACAAGACGTGCCAGGGCAACTATCCTTGAAAGCCTCTAGCCCCAACGAAAAACCATTTTCGCCGACAGTGGTAAAACCCCACGCGCGAAAGCTTGCGAAAGCTTCGCGAAGGTCCTGCGAAAGGCCTGAAAAAAATGAAAGGACTTTTGAACAACCCCCATTTATGTTCATTTTCAGCGGTCAATCAGGGTTACGGGGTTTTGACCCGCAGTCATCTAGCTGTGGATTCAACCGCTTTGCAGAAGTTCACGGAAGAGACAATGTGAAGAGGGTTGGTGACATGTTTTTTGCTAATGTCGGCTTCGGATTAATCACCCCCCTCAAGGTCAACAAGGTTTGAGATTGGAGGTATGGGAGACCACATCCCCCTAATAAAGGTGATGGCCTGATGAAGGATGATGGTTGATGGAATTCTGTGTGAACATGTTTTCAATATTCTGCGGGCACATGGGCTTGATTAGTAGGGGTATATTTTTGGCCAAAGAAGATGTTTACTAGAGGGAGGTCAATGTCGAAAGTTAGGTTTTAAATTGGTTTAGCATTTGGGGCTCGAGATAGGCTTGATTAACAAGGGGAGGTTTGCTACAAGTTTAAATGAGATCAGGTCGGCTCTGATATCGAGTTCTACTACTTAATAGATTAATAGAGTTGATGTTGATGATGCTCTTGCTGATGAGGGGTCGGTTTGAGATGTGAGATATGGTTGTACGGGTAAGTGTGAAAGCTCGCTAATACTAATTGATCACCAAGTGTTAAACCTGACCTGGCTAATCAATCAAGCCTGCACAGTCATTCCTAAGAATGTGCAAGGTGCGGACTTGCGGTCAAGAACCCTAAACTTTGACAACCTGATTGGCTTGCTTACTTATTGAATCATGCGTACTATAACTATAACTCATGTAAGGAGTCTCGTCGTGGGACATCCTCTACCTGAGGAATATCAGTGCAGGATTTCTTCTACCGTAGTAACAGTGCACCCGTTTCGATTTTGACCACTCAGGATTCTTCGGTGACCCTGCAGGTATATAGATTGTGAAGCAGTGACGTTATGATATCCTTCATGTTGATCTGGTTGTTTGCGCAGGTGGTGGAGCGCACAACACCAGACCGTCCGATACGGCGAGTTGGATTTGTAAAAGACCCATCCATCCATCCATCCATCCATCCATCCAAGCTAAAATCTCAGCTACCAGCCCATCTGTTTTCCATGGCGCAACAGGGTAAAGAAGTGTCCACTTCTGTCTCACTGACGTTTTGTTCGTTTTGTGATACATCCTTTGCCTTATTGTGTTCATTTTGGTCATCGAGTTTCCTATGTACCTTCGTTCCTCCTATGGGGAAGGATGTTGTGCGCTTCGTGCTCGTCACAGACTCATGCCATTCCAAGCCAAGCTAACATAAACTATCATCAACTTGTTGATCCTCTAATCCATTAAACCCGAAGCCAACAATCTAAGCCATTCATGCTCACTCCGAAGCCACTCATTGTTTTGTCGATGGGCCAGGCTCGAGCAGCAGATTTTGGAGGATGAACGCCGACGGATCACCGCTGCCCGGCTGCCCGGCTGCCTCGGGTCGGGTCTGGCATGCCTGGTCAGACCGTTTCCATCGCTTCAGCACCACTGATATATCACATTGACATAGTTAAACAACAACATGCAAAAATCCATTAACAGGAGCGAAGGGAAGCCGGAAGTTCGGATTTAGGTTATATATGGGCATATCATGGCCAAGTCCGGAGTCAGGGACGAGGAGTGTTTAACAAGGGACATTCTTGGGCTATCAAGATCAGTTGCATAAAGAGCCAAGAAACACAGCAGCTAGTTGTTGTTGGTTAACAATTATATAGACTTCCCCTTTGATGCTATTCCATGCTGTGGCTGCAAAGCCACAGCCGTGTGTAAATACGTGAAGTGGTGTTGCAAAATGTCCATACCAATAAAAAGCAATACCTGACAGGGCTCCCTCGTTTTGTACAGTAATGATGATGCAATGTCCTTAGAAACTCAATACTTAAGTGCATGTGAAGTTCGCTTTGACAGGCTCATAAATGCAGATCTCATTGGGCTGAGTCTTCAGCCCCTCCTTTTTGCCAGGATGTGGGGCCTTTGGAGACGTACAGCTTCTTGCACCAGTCCTTGGGTGCGGGTACCGTTCCGCTCGCAGTGAAGCGCTTCACTTCGCTTGGCGCAAGCAATAGAAGGTTGCAGTGACAGAGTCTCCTTTTTAGTGTGTTTGAAGGTTTTTCACGTCGCATACGTGGACTTCTCCTGAATTCTGCAGCGGCTATAGCCCCAAAACGCGCTGCTGTGTCTGCCAGGGCTGCTCTTCGACACTGCACTGACTGCAATCCGCCATGCAATGGCTGCAAGTCCTCAAAAGACGGTCTTGGTGGAGGCCAGGATTCTGAAGGCTCCATCGACCAGGAGCTGAACGCACGTTCGAGCTCACCCTCAACTTCGATGTTCATTTCTTGTCCCAAGGGTTTCTATATATAGTTCCAACATGCTCCAAAGGGTCGACTGGTGACCAACACGAGAATGGAGAGTCAGAGTCAGCGAAAGGCGAGATCCTAGTCGATTGACAGGACGGCCAAGCAAAGAAATTGTGCATTGTGGTGTTGAAACAACGGCATTCAGTGTGTGTTGGCTACACCGTAGCAGGTCTCAATAAGGTTTTCGTTTGCAGCCCACTTATGACCATGGTTTATCTTCAGGCAGCAAGTCTGGAGAAGCAACTGACAGAAATGCTCCTCGCACACGCCAAGGACAGTGGTGGCAGGGCAATGATTGTAGTGGTACGAAGCGATGGAGGTGGCCATAGTGGTACCACTGATACGAAGGCAGATTTGAGATTATGTCAATAAGTTCCTCAATATCACATCCAATCAATGACTGGATCATTTCAAAAGTTCCATTATTGTCTTTGTGCCATATCTCTTAGATTCTTTTTGATCGTCATATCTTCGAAGAGTGAGAAAAGCGAATTCCTCCTCGGACCGGCGGACCGGGACTTCGGAGACGCCGCAGATCTCGTCCCCAGAGCTCTGCGCGCCATTGACTTGATGAGGGGGGCTGAAAGCCTTCCACCAGTCGTGGTAGCCGTAGACCCACGAGCGGGTCCCAGGAGCCCTTGTTTTTCTGGCATGGTCCCAAGTGGATGGTGAAGTCCAAGCGCCTTGGCTGAACCAAGCGAGGTCGCCGATCGAGTCGGGCGCGCGCCTTGGCTGGGCGCCGAGCGAAACCTATCGAAATGAGGGGAGGAAGGACCTAATCGAAGCTGTTCCGGTAGGGTAGGGGGGTTGAACCTTTGATTGGTTGAGATACGTACCATGCACGTCTATTTATTTGTTGTTGGGCTTTTCTTTGGGCGGGGAGTCTTATGTCATTATGACGACCTATACTTCAATCTCAGATGTAGAAGCCAGAATTGCAAAGCACAACCCAAACCACAAACAAACTGCTGGCTCTGTAAAGAGTGATTTTGTGGTGCACTGGGTAACTGTCCAAGAATACAACTCTTCATTGAACTTTGCAATTGGCAGAATTTTGCCTCATGCAAATCCAGCTCAGCTCAGTGTGCTTATTCAAGCTTCACACCTGGCACTTGAGCAGGAGGCCTTTGGATCAGTTCCGTTTGTGACACGTTGCGCGGCGCTAGATTCCAAGCACCTCATTTTTCGATGAAGCTTTCAGGCATGGTTTTGTCGTGCTTTCGTGCCTCCGTTTCGGGGTTTCTCTTCAGGCCCCCTTAAACCGCGATGATCACAGGCACTCCAGACCTGAATGGGTGTCGTAGGGTGACGCAAAAAGACACGACATGTGGATGGACCCAAAAACTCGTGGAACACGTAGACACCGTAGACCCTTGGAACATGACTCTCCCCCACAAACCTTGTGTGCGTTTTCAGCTTCCATTCCTTGGGTTTCCATGACCCGTCCCGGTTCATCTTTAGCGCCAGAGGCTTGATCGCTTGCTCGCTCGAGGGGCATGGCATGATGAGATGAAGGCACCAGGGTGTTGTCGTGGTGTTTCCTACATGCCTGAATAGGGGATGATAGTTTGTGTGATGCAGATCGAGCCTAAACAACAGCCGGCGTAAACAATGGGGGAGTCCAAGATTTGAGACACACTATGCTATGACACGCTTATTTGTGGAGTGACTCGGAGCGGCTGGCTCGGAGCGGTTAGGCGTGTATAATAGATATGATCTTCTAGCACACTTTGTAGGACAAAAAAGAAACGGCCTTGGTGTGTTGAGGGGCCAGCGCAGAGATATCTGAAGTGTACAGAATCAGCAAGTGAGAGCTAGACTGTTTGAGCAAGACGGGAGCAGATTTGGGTTGCTTTTCGAAGAAAGAAGCCAGATGCCGTTGCATCCGGTTGAAAAGTTGCTCGACATGTTGAAAACCCGTTGCCAGGCATTGGCCAATTTTTCCTTCACCATCACGGACCTCTTGGGTAAGGTACTCGCCGTGCCGAAGTGGAGAAGTCCGTCCAACTGCTTTTTGCTTGAGGGAGAGAGGGAGAGCAATGCATGTCGCCTAAGTCTAAGTTCTCAAGAGTTTTCAGCTCTTCATTCAAGATGAACTGATCATATGGGGGCCCACGCGACTCACGGAGACTCACTGAGACTGAGACCCAAGGCCAAGGCCATGCCGAATTCGGCCTGCTTTGCCTCGATCCTGCGCCAGGGGGCAACTGCAGAGGAAGGTCAAAAAGCCGTGCAGGTGCAATCGAAGCGGTTTCTGGAGATAAACTGGACATTGAGAATTCAATCTCCTCCAACCATGCTAAGTCTGACTGCTCGATTGCTACAAAGCCGCCAGTTCACAACTGCCTATGTAGTTCTATTGATCCCTTTCCTTGGAATCTCTACTTTCCAGAACCGAACGGCTGACATGATCGGAGTGTTCTTCTCCCGAACGGCCGCCAGGGCTCTGTTCCTTTGGTCGGTGTCGTGGTGGATGACAGCTTTTGCTCCCCAGGCCGTGCACGACCTGCGAACGGGCGAACCGGGGGGTGTGGTGGGTTCGTCGACCGGGCTCCTGCACCTGCAAGCTCTACCCTCTCGTGAAGAGGGCTATATAAGTCGTCTCACAGGACGGAGCTGGGAAGCTATACCGCTATACCATGCTATACCCTTGTGACGCAGCCTGGACCACTGGAGGATCTATTTATGAATACTCGTGATGCTTGTCCTTTCCTGTGAAGGCACCAGCGGCTGTAAAGAGTGCCTTCATATTTTAGCATGAATGAGAGTGAGGGGTGATCACCTCCGCGGTACACTTTGACACAGAATTCAATCAAACATTGCGGGCACTGCGTGGGAATTGGTATGAACAGGCCATCCATTTGCCATAAGATGATTCTGAGAGAGAGAGAGAGAGAGAGAAAAACAACAACAATTTACTGAGGGGTGTTCTTGAGCTTCAGACACGTGCCAAGCACATCTGAGTTTCATGGCTTAAGTAGCTTGTCATGATCCACGCAGCAGACGCAAGGAACAATCCAGCAGTCAGCCTTGTGGCTTACATATTGCACGTCAAAGAGAATCCTTCCATGTAATCCACATTACGAACGCCTTGCAGAACTAATATGTTGCCCACTTGGATACAATTTTGTGTTTCTACTTGCTCATTAGCCCCATCCAATATCTCCTCATGGACCCCCGCCGTGTCAGAAACAAGAGAAACACAGGTGAACAGACTTTGTTCCGCCCGAGATGCCTTAGCGCTGGGCGTGCGTGCCAGTGGTGTGTGTGCCTGGTGCCCCATGCCCATTGAAGCAGAAGCGTTCTCACCCTGGTTGTGCTTGGCTGCGCCTCACCTCAGCTCTGATGATCCCAACAGTGCGTTTCCCCGCGCTGCGCCCTACGCAGTACTGCAGCTCTTTATCGACCGGGCGCATGCATTGCCTGCGGCGGACCTGAATGGCTTGTCGGATCCCTATGTGACCGCACAGATCAATGACCAAGACTTGCAGGTGCGCAGAAGCTGTAAGGCGTGCCTCCAAGAATTTGGGGCTTTATAGTATCCTTTCAGTGAATATCCTTTAGAATGAATCATGCGTCATTTTGGTGACAGTAGCAACTGAGCACTTTGGAGCACTTTTGGATAAAACTGGCTGAAATGCCCAGAATTCAGCATTTACATCCGCTGAAAAGAAAAACTGTTTGTCCAAACGGTGTGCGTGTCATTCAGCCAAAAAGAGGGAATAGGTTGGAGGTGAGGGGTTTGCGGACGGTTTCCAAATCAACACACCAAATCGACGCTGCCAAGCTGTTAAGCTAACTCACCTTCCACCTGATCCAGGTGCGAACCACTACGCAGAATGGCACCTTAGCCCCGCGCTGGGGAGAAGAGTTTCACATCCCTGTTTATCGGCCGGAGAGCGTGCTGACCCTGCAGCTTGGCGAAGCAAATTGCACAAGAAATCAGCGGAAAGTTGTAGATAAGATAGGTAAGATGGCTGAGGAAGCAGGTTGGTCAGTGAGCACACATTAGGATGATCATGGATGGTTTAGTGTATGTGGTGGCAGGTTGACAAGAGATCGCGTCGCTGCAACATACCGTCGCTGCAACATACCTGCATTTATATATATATATATATTTGTTGACAATTTGTTGAAACATGTTGAACTTTTTAGAGAGTGATCACATAAATTAATTGCTCTTGATGCTGCTTGTTCAGTGCCAATGTCCAACCAAGTCAAGTCTTCAAGGACATGAATGAACACCTGCAAAAAGGAAGGGATCTCCGCAAGCCATGATTTTGTTCCCTTGTTGGAAAGTGGCTCGTCTTAGAAGCTAAAAAACTATGGGGAACCAGCACGGATTGTGTTGTTTGTTTCATTGTTGTGTATTCATTATGTTTTCTTGGATCAGGGTTCCTATATCTTCCAACATCATATATTCACATCTATGCACTGCCTGGCAGTGACAAGTTGCTCTCAAGGTTGCGGAAAGATTCGATTCAACTATTGCCCGGAGGGCAAACTATTTTGCCCCTTCAACTCTTGGGTGATAGGGAGCAGGTGGAAAGAATTCCTGCTGAAGTTTGTAGGAATTCCAGTGGGGCTGCGTTCCTTTCATGCCTGTCCGAACTGGATTCCCCTTTTGCTCACATCTTGAGGTATGTGCATGACGAGGATTTTGGCACGGAGAACATCGTGGGCTTTGCTGGGTCTTTGGTCGGTCTCAGCGACGACCTGCTCCTTGGTCTGTTCGGGTTCAGGTTTCAAAGCTCCGTCGAAGGGTGGGTGCCTTTCCTTTCAATGCTACTTGCGCAGGCCGCCCTGATTGTTGACCTATTGACCTATCATGCAAATCGGAATCAACTCATATCTGCTAGACTTCGACTTGCAACGCACGACTTAGATGTTGGAGAGAGATGCGATTCCGTGCTCCTTGGATCCACTATAGACTATATAGTCAGCAAGAAGCCTGCAAAGTACCTGGCTTTTCCTGAGAATGCAACAAACAATGTCGTTTGATTCCTTCTCAGGTTGGGCTGCGTAGATATCTCCCTGGAGCGATTGCCCTTGAACACCAAGCTCTCGGGCTGGTTCGACCTTCACTCTGTCACGAAAGCCACCAGCTACCGCACGCGAGTGGCTCTGAGCGAGTCGGGCGAGGCACAGACTGTGGGACGCATTCGGCTACAGCTGACTCTCCGAGTGCAGCAGCCACAGGATGAGTGCCTCAGTTGGGGTTCAAGGATGTTCAAGGATGTTCAAGGCGAACTTGTTGATCGGTCACACTTCTTAAGTCTTAGTGTGTTCCCCCAGCTGTGCTTGTTTGCTTTTTTCGCCTGCACTGAACGTTTTGTGGTTTGCCCAGCTGCAGATCGACGTGGACACCCACCAAGCTTTGTAGATTCGGTAAAATTGCACAGCAAGTTTACATAGAGTAGAAATTTCAGAGTGTTTCAGGAGAAACCCTGAAATATGTGAAACTTCAAGATTGATGGTGAAGAGTGTTTTCTATCCAAGAGCTTCGACTCGTCCTGATCGAGTCTTTGATTTGATTCGGATGCATCAACTCAATCAACTCATGCTTCAGACGACCGAAGCTGGGCGAGTCGCTGAGGTTGTATGCATTGTGCCTGGGGCCTCCCAGCTTTGGTGAACCACTGCAGCCTTTGAACTTTGGGGAGCTCATGAGACCTGGCGAGTGTCGGGCGACAGTGTTGGCTTCGGAGACGGGCGAGTAAGGGTCTGAAAAAAGGGTGATGGAAGAACAATACATATATATATATGTATATTAGACATACCTTATTTATTATATATTATTTATACATCGTGATGTCGCTCAGTCAAATGTCCATGAATGTCTGCGACATGGAGCTCAATTCACACACGTCCACAGGGTTGAACGTGATGTTTTGAAAGAGGGATTTCGGACGAAGTCACCGGCAGTGTCCCACTGCCCTTGCAAGGGCACAGGCAGGTCTACAGCAAAGGCATGTTTGTTTCATCTACCCAAGACCCTGGCAAAAGAACTGCAGGTCCAAAGAAAGCATCCCAGCCGCCTCCCACCAGGCACATTGTAGCAAACGCCAGCCATTGTCATTGATGGTGATTTGCCCAATGGAAAGCCAATGTCGACCCTGGTTGGGTTCAACCAGAACTTCCAACAAACATTGCCTCCAGAAAGAGGAACATGCATTGAGAACATGCATTGAAATCCATTGAACAACTGAGCTGAGTTTTTTTGATATGAAAGGGTTTGTACAAGATGTAATAACCTTCAAAAGGCTGGCGTAGGCAACCTGCTTGGGGATGTAGGCGATCGTAGGCATTCTATTGTCTAATGTTTGTCGTAGGCGTTTGCCGTAGGCAACTTAAATAGCATGCTGGGCCTTGAAGTCACCCAGCTTGTGATTCTGCTTCAAATTAGAATTGACAGTGGCTTTGTTGTCTCAGTTTCTTGTAGCAGATGTGTTTCATCTCATAGCCTGGGACATGAACCAGGGGCAGTTTGCAAGGGCACTTAGAATGACCACCAGAGAAAAACGCAAGACATTGCAATGCAACCAGGGAGGTTAGGACGGTGTGAGAGGTGAGAACTCCCAACAATGTCCCAAACAACTCTTTTGTGTTGTTTTCCTGGGGACATTTTCCGTAAGCTCACCACAGGTTCTCCGTACAGGCACCGTAGGCAAAAATGCATTTTGTGATCCTTCCATGTCCGCTTGTGAAAACCTGCTGTTCCGAGAAGTATTCCCAATGTCGAAGACATGGGGAGACTATATGCGTCAGTTCACGTCCCGCGTGGTATCGTCCAAAACTAATGATGAGCATGACGTCGTTGCTTGCTTGTCTTCCGTTGTGAAGCACGTAGCTAATGAAAAACCAACTTGCCCATCGCAGAGCACCTGTGTGCTGCCTTGAAGCAGGAGTTGCCCGCCCCAGACACTATGTTTGTGGCATGTATGAAGATCATCGAGAAGGTCATTGAGAACTCGGGGTCGCTTACGGCAATCCAACAATCACCACAGTCAGTTGCAGTTGCCCCGTTTGTCTGCTGACGACTTGGGCCGCGCTGTCGAGCTCATCATCTGAACGATAAAGGGTCAGCTGCTGCGTAAACAGTCCCACTTGCAAGAACTGTATGGTACCGTAGGCAAATTGGAACAGTCATGCTCCAAACCTCAGGTTCGTAGATTTCCCGTAGGCGATGTGGAATAAGTCATGTCTGCCGTACACGGTGGAAACGTAGCAAGGGTCTACGTAGGCACCCAAGGATGATAACACCACCACATCTTAAAAACCTCTCTGCTCAACTGAGAAACGACCAAACCCCGAGACGCGTCTCGCCGTTTTCTCCCCATGGTGACCCTTAGGACCCATGTCTCCTCCATCGCCCGTGTGCTGGGTCGTGTGGGCGACTTCTGCGGGCCGCTGGTGACCCGTGCCGAACGCTTCAGCAGCCTGGTCTTCGGGACGGCCATCTTCCTCGTGTGGAGGCTGCACCGGTCCTCCCGGAGTTCGGATCTCCACAGTTGTGTCGACCCCGAAGACAAGTCCGGCCGCTTTTTGATGTTTGGTTCTTTTTAATGGTAGAGATTGCACATTCAGCAGTCTTTGGACACATGAGCCAAGAGTGCAGGGGTTGTTGTTTGATCTGTGGGTGTCGTCCTGCTTACTTGGTAATCAATAACTATAACTAATTCGCTGTTGAAGGAGAACATGTATTATCCAACTAACGGCAGAGCAACAGACTGCATGTATATTAGCATAGACTTGCGTCAACCTGGATCCAGAATCCTCGACAATAAAGGGGTTTTGCTCCCCGGAATCAAGCAGTAGAGCCTTTGCACATCATTGTACCTTTCCCCCATGATAGATTTGGACAGGACACGATGGTGCAGAGGTGGGACGTATCTAGGGTCTGTGAAGGTTTGATGAGCTGTAACTCATCAGTGTCCTTCACGGCAAGGAAACCCGGTCAGATAGCTGTGAGGCCTCACTTCATACTGCCGCTCTTGATCGTCAAGTTCTGTGCAACTTGGATTGAAGATTCAATGCTTTGCACATGTGTTTGGAGCTGAGGTCTTACCGCTTGATCCCGATTAGCAGAGCAAACTTCCTCCCAACAAAGAGATACAGACATCACTTGGGCGAACCAAAAAACAGAACGGCATGTAGGCATGCATGCGGCATGCTTCCTCTCCACAGATTGTTGAATGGTGGTCAAATTCTACTTGCATGTTCTGACCCGTGATCCCTTGACCAAAGCACCGGGATGCTCTCCATCCATCCTGCACACCTCCACTGAGGTGGTCCTTCTGCTGTCGCAGCCGGTGCCCACAGAGGTGTCCGAGAGCGCGGTGAGCGATCCAAAGCTCCAGCAGGTCTTCAAGGCAGCAGAGGTGGGCCTAGCTGCGCAGCAGTGGCTCAGACGCAAGGCTAGGCGCTGGGAGGAGTGGAGGCAAGTTGGGTGTGTGGCCAGGGGGTTGTCCCATGGGACCTGTAACATCCTGTAACAGTCGGTAAGATTCGGTAAACACATGTAAACACTTATTACTGCGGAGAAAGGGCCTTACTAACCATCATCATCCACTGTTTCGTGGGGTATACCGTATACCCCAGGTGTGTGTGTGTGTGTGCGTGTGTCCTCGTGGGGCTTGGAAGTCAGATGAAGTCAGTCCCCAAGGTTGAGTTGAGATAGGCCGATTCGATCTGACTGTGTATGTCATCCAGGAAGCCATGACATGGCTTGCCGTCATGCCTTTTTGCAATTTTTTGCCCTTGTCATGGTGTCAAGCGTAGCATTGTGCAGCCATGGAGCAAATTTGGACCTTTATTGGACGCAATACCAAAATATACCAAACAGTTCCAAAAGGACTTCAAGACCCCAAAACAGACATGTTTGCCTCTCACCACGAGAACATCGGCGTCCGGGTGCAGATGTGCACATTTTCAGTTCCAGATGTGACATCTGCCGCCGCAACTCGAGGTACACGGAAATCTCCATGGCGCAGAATCAGCTGGGCACTTGTGTTTCAACTCTCCATGACCTGCAAGAGACCTGGGCGATGCTGGGCGAATGAGTGACGAGTGGCGGATTTTTGGGAGAGTGACGCATCAAAAAAACTGTGTGAAAAGGGGTGAAAACGGAGGATTCTGTGGGTGAGGCAATTCATTCAGCAAGAACTCTGAGGAGTTTGGAACATGACCAACATTCTTAGGTTACACTGTTGTGGAAACCTTTTTTGTCATGATAAGGGCTCGAAAGGCACATCGTCCGTTGTGTGTGTGTGTGTGTCCAATACTCAGGAAAGCTGTAGCACACAAGCGTGCAGTGAGCTTTGCTTTGGGCCTCGTCGCGTTGGCGTTGGTCCACTTCAGAGAGTGGCAGGCGGCTGGGGCTGCTTACGGAGAAGTCGTCATGTTTGTTCTTTATTCGACGCAAAATATCTTAGATAGGTATGAGTTTTTTTGGAGAGACGATGGATTGACGACCCCAGCAACAAGAATTGAGGTAGTTCATAGTTCAGGATGCGAGGCTAAGTCTAAATGTTAAGAACAAACTCCTGAAACCTGTTGAGGGTCGTGTGAGTAATTACATGTATATACTTACCAACAATCGCCGATATATATATATATACATACAAATAATGACTTTTTTAAAGTCAGCTATCCTGCGTTCCCTGCATGCTTTAAGGGCCCGTGCGAAATGCAAGGTTTGGGCCACTGAAGAGACACTTGGAGCACCCTCTTGACGCCATTTTTCGATGTTTTCCCATGTCCCAAACAGACCTTGGTTGGTGGGGGCGAAGGATCCTGGCTTCGTTTGGCGACTGGGTGGCCGTCCGCCAGCGGCTGTCAATGGCTTGACACGAATTGCGCAAACAACAGACATTGACACACATACATACACAATGACAACACCAACGATATTATACAATATAGCCTAATATAGCTTGACAACTCACAATGACAAACACAACGGATTCCGCAAACGATTCGTGCAAACACAAGCGGACCAGCGTTTCCGCGTTCTCACTCATGTTGGCAGTCCTGAAGCTCCAATCCCATGGCAGTGCTTTGCGATGTAGCTTTTGGGCCACAGCTCGTGGCATTCCGACTTTTCTTTTGCCATGGGAATCAATCGGAATCAAATGCATGTTTATCCCTAGGTTGCCATCGGTATTTTACCAAAACAAGACGATGTGCACGGAAGGTGTTTTTTTGAGGCAGGCCTTTCCTGCTGCGCCTTTTTGGTTGAGCAAGTGGGCTGATGCATTTGTGTTCGGCACCGCCTGGGCAGGGCTTCGTGCTTCGCACACTATTGACCATCATGTTAGCCTTCTTTCTGGCGCAGAACTCCTGTGTGGCTCGCGTGCTGAGGGCGCTGTATATCTACAAGTACAAGGATACCTCCGCCACGGCATGCTTAGGCTTGCCGAGCAGCAGAAGATGTGCATATGTTTTCCCTTTCTAACATGTTTGTATATGTTTACACATGTGTAACATATATATATATATATATCATCACTTTATTTTGATTTAGATCTACTGTCGTTGTCTTGTGGTTGAGCACCTGTTCTGCCTTTTCAATATATGATGGACATGTGGTCTTCATAGAAGGAAAGGGACCTTTTGGCTGCCCTGGAACCATGCACCCAAGTGATGTCCAAATGAGGGGTTCTGTCTTTTCGCAGGAAGTCCTTGAGAGCAATCTTAATGCACATCGTAAACCAGTACGTAGTTCTCTCAGTTCTTGGACATCGCATGCATTAGCAATGACTCTGTCCCAAGCTCAAAGCACCTTTCCTGTGAGTTTTTGCGTTCTTTTTGTCAGACTTGTGGTCCAGGCATGGGAGTGACCCTGGAAGCTATAAATCTTCGGAGCGACTTGAAACGCTCCGGCACTTGCGTTTTGACTCCGGGCGGGGCGGCCTCCTTGAGCAACAGTGCCTTGGTGCACGTTATGTGTGGCACAATTTGAGATAATACTGTGTGGTGCACGTTGTTTGTAATGCCCAGTGATTAGATTCCGTATCAAGTAGCAAACGTTCCAGTGGTTTCTTCTCGTGTAAACGAATTTCAGGCCTGGAGAGAGCTCCTCGGGGTGTCGTTCGAACTGGATTGGTGCTGGTTCGGTAAACCCTGAGGATGCCACTGTTTGTTTCTTAGTGCTTCGTAAAACCCTAGTGCTCTTGGTATGTGATTCTATGATGATTCTGCTTCAAAAAAAGGATAACAAAGAAGCCACAACACCGCTTTGTTGTTTGTTTCCAGCTGCCACTGGAACCAGTTGCGACAGACCTACTGTTGAGGCTCTCAGGTGTCCTCGAACGTGCCCGAGAAGGTGTCGATGCATGTCTTGGAGGAAGAAACCTGGACGGAGCCTGCGTGGTGTCAGCAGCTTGGAAAGCACTTGAGCGGAGCAAGAGCAAGACATTTGATAAACCACTCGATATAGGAGTAGACATACCGTCAGGCGCCGTCAGGCAAAATGAAATGAAGTGAAATGACATGACATGCAATTAATGAACTGAATGATGACGGACGGACAGACGGACGGACGGACCGACCGACCGACCAACCAACCGACCGAATCAATGAATCGTTCATGTTCTTGTTGCCAATTGTGGATCTTGTTGTAGACCTCCTGCCGAGGGTTCCGAAACACCAATCCAGGACTGCGTCATTTGAGCTTTTCTTCCATTCTGGCTAAGATTTCACCGTGTATGTCATTTTAGCGGGGTTGTTCAGTTGTTGCAGAGGCTGCTGAAGTTGTGGAAGTGAGGAAAGCTAGGCAGCGAGCTTAAAGGACAAGTCATGTTTCCAGTCCTCAGGTTTGTACCATTTGGGTACAAAAGAACAAATGGCAAATTGTTGGTTGACTAGTGTCCAAAACCTTGCCTGCTCAAAAGAGGTTGTGGTGATGGTCGATTGTTTTATTTGAAGACAAGGACCACATCGTGAGGATGTTGCTCAATTCAGTCAGATAGTAATTCACAAGACTCATGAAGACCAACACTTCCTGAGCCCCACTTCTCCAATTGGTCATGAGTCAAAATGCTTTTGCCGGCAATGCTGCGAAGGTGATCACAGGCTTTTCTTGTGATGGCAAAAGCATGTAGAGTAGCCTGTAGTTGCTGGGGGGTTCAAGAAAAGAACATCCCACATCCACAGGCAACACGCCCAACACGCAACACCTATTTTACAGCAGTATGTGATTGCAAAGGCTGATCACTTCAACTCTATGGTCAATAGCAAGGCTAGAGGCTAGAGTAGAGTAGGGTCATATTGCAGAACAAAACACCGGAGTCGGCACGTGTGACGAGTCGGCCAGTCCCACGTGTTTGCTTTAACCGGGCTACTGGAAGTCTCCTAGGCACTGTGGCGGCTTCCTCTGGGGAGCTTGGAGGCAGAACGAACAGCGCTGCGCGCCAATCGAGAACAGCCACTTTCCGCTTGCTCCGCGCGGATCAGCGCTGATCAGCGCTTGGCGGCGAGACATCATAATGGCCCCCCAATAGATAGTGGCACGGTGTCCAACACATTCGTAGTAGTGGGTATTTATTAGGGGGTCTACATATTCCTTCCGTGGAACTAACATGGAAGTGGAGTTCACCCCCATGTTGGTTGGGAGCCATGCCATCCACTTCCATGCTAGCTCCAGGGAGTGTACATGGTTCTTGGAATCACTCTACACACCAACACAAAACTGGCACACCATGTTTGCAGGGAGTTGGTTTTCGTTGTTCCAGTTGAGAGGGAGTATCCTCATACACACGTGTGGCGACACATGCCTCACATTGCAGTGATGTGTTCGAAGCGTCATTTGGCCAGATCATACTTGTCAGTTTCCACAACTCCACCTGCTGTGCCCAAAACCCCAAAGCAGGATTTGACACATATCTTGGTTGCCTTTGGCAGCAAACGTCCACACACTTAGCAGGCACTACGTAGTTATACTGTTCTATAGAAATTTGTACATTGTACATTTGGTGTTGCAAATCATCCTTGGTTGGTTCCTTGTCCTACTTATCAAGCAACTGTCAAGCTTCAATTGGGCTGCAAGACAAGTGAGAAGAGGTTGTAATTGATCCGGTGGCCCTTGATCCATGCATTTTCCGCTCGCTCCGCAGGCAAGGATGGAAGTGTCGTGATTGTGCAGTGGTCCTTTGCCACGCATGCGCTGCGGAATCGGACCTCGACTTCTGCGCGAAGTCTCAGTCTAAGCCGTCATGAATCGGCACAGGGCACAGAGGGGTACAGAGGGGCACAGAGGACGTCGAACGAGAGTGTTTCCTGACTATCATCCAAATGCCAAGTGTGCTGCGGATGATCCAACAAGACACTGTTGACTGGCTTGACTCCACACAGAGCACGACTTCCACTAGCTTCGCAATGTCAATTTGCTGAACAAGACCTAAGGCTCAGTCTTCCTTGGGCAGTGCACAGGAAGGCCCTTTCAACCAACCAACACACCAGTATGGCTAAAAGTGAGACCCTCGTCTTGTATCCCTTCTGACAAATTACCAGTCTGTGGTTGATGGGCTATTCTCTCTAAGCTTGGCCCCCTCACCAATGTGAGCTGGAACAGGCAAGGCATCATGAGAACATGAGAACAGGCAAGCGCTCGAACGTGCTGTTTGACGCAAAAGGAGCCATTCAGCGGAGCTGTTGAGCAAAAGATCTCAAGCACTGGTCTGGATGCATCACCAGCTCGAAGTCGTGTACATGTTGGGTTTGTCCTATTACCTGTAAACAGTCCGTAAACCAGGAAATCACTATTTTGGAACAAGGCCTTTACTTTGCACCATCATCCAATGTTACTGGTCATGGGACCTGATCCCCTCCATGTTTCATTCGTTTCCAGCGATTGTTCCTTGGTGTGACCAGTTAAGCCAGCGGATCAGGGTGAAGTCCGCAGGACGCAAAAGTTAGACGCACCCGCAACGCGGGCACCCGACGTCACTCCAACACTCTTTGTACCCGCATAAGGCTGCATGCTTTTGTGCAGCGCATCGTGATAGGCCCCAGAACTCTTCTTTTGATTCGGCATTACCAGTCGACACACGGCCCCACTTTTTCGTGTATGTAGAGCACTACCAGTCGACACAGGCGCACTATGCAGCCTTGATGGCCTGAAGCCCCTAGCGACAGAGGTGCAGAGATGTGGGATGTGGCTTTAGACCGGTCATCGAATCCGGATTTGTGTTGGAGGTGCGTCGTTGCCATCTCATACTGTTTAGATATATAACTTGTATTAACTGGTTTAGTATCCAAACAGTTCCATTAACAAGTGTGGCTGCTTCTTAATTGTGCAACCGAAGCACAGGCAGGTCGGTGCTTTGCCATTGATACACGTAGAGCAACCTGTTTCATGCCTGAAAAAGTTTTGAGGTTCAAAAGTATTTCAGGTAGAGATATTGACATAGTGATTTAGGGGATCGAGCTGTAGGCCTGGAATTGCCTTTAGTACTCAGCAGCATGTCAAACTGCTACGCATGTCATTCCGGGTCCCTCGCCAGGCTACGCATGTCTTGGTGCTGCCGTGCCCTGAGGCCTTGCATGCCTTGCTTGGTCCACCATGGCACTCTGACCAGCTTTTGACAAAGGTTCACCAAAGAAGTCAGTCTTCATGCTGTGCTTTGAGAGTAACATGAACGTCCCAGCTTCGGATGTAGCAGGTCTTGGTTTTAGCTTGAAACCACGGTAGGTGAATGATTATGGCCAGTCAACGGAGCATGAATCCATACCTTCAGCATGTTGTGAATCATTCTATGATTGAGCTGGTCTGGACCTGTTGGATGTGCCTTGATTGCCCGAAAGCACCGCCATTTTTCCCTGGCTCGCCAGGCGACCTTGGGGCAAGTGGGGAAAGCGCTGCGAAGCGCCAGCGTTTCGATCTATCTCTCGGTGTCGCTCCCCGGGGAACTCCTCGAGGCGGCACCTAGGGAGGCGCGGCACCCGAATTAAGTGGGCCTGCGATGGATGCGTGATGCGCGGATCATGGAGCGACCTACAGAACCTACAGACAGTATATAGCCTGTATATATATATATAGAGGTCCTTTTGGAAAGAGGACAGACTGGATGGCAAGATGTCGTTATGTTCCGATTCAGCGGATAAGTAGTCGGTTGGTTGATGCAGCTTGTCAGTTGTTTGGAACAGAGCATCACTTGCAACGCAAGGCCACAGGTTTTTAATGAACATCCTGAATTCTCAGGTGTCTTTAGGATGCTGAGAAGACGACTTTTGAAACAAGTTGATGATCCTATGATTGATGGACCTCAGGCTACACCTGCGGCCATTGCCGAGCTGCTGGGCGGTTACATCTCCCAGGCGGAGAAGGCCCAGCTTCCGACGTCGACGACCACAAGCGCGGCGCGAGAGAAGCCGTTTCACCCAGTGGAAGCTTTGATGAAAGATGGCCATGGAACACTGCCAAAACACTGCATCTCAAGTTCGTAAAGAAAGTACATAGTTCATAGTGTTCGAGTCGCAGAACTCAGCGGAGGCACCAAAACGTCATGACAAATGATCGAGCTGTGTCAAATGTTGACAAGCTTGTTTGGACGGTTCTGGACCTCAGCAAGATGCCTGAAATCAGGCCTTGGGCAAGCCCATCGACTTAGTTTGGATGCCCTATGCTGCCTTCAAGACTGGAATGGGCGCAAAGACAACCAAGCATCCGGGAGGGTTAAACATACGTAACGGCGTGTTTGAGGACTGAACGATTTGCCAGAATCACCAGAATGTCGTCAGCAAATGGTGCTTAACATCAGGTGTTTGTACGGTTTTCAGACATCAGACCTTTACAAACAAGTCATCATGAACCAGACTCATCAGCCCCCGTATGTAGCCGGAGGAAATCGGATGATGCCAATATTTGCGTCGGTGCCAGAAGGGAAGAGAATAGACTCTGATTTCGTCCTGAATCGGCCGGGAGCACAGCTGACCTCAGACACCTCACAGAGGTCCCCAGCGTGACACAGAAGCGACGCAACGTACTACCCTTCTCGCAGGAAACAGTACTGGGCCGGAACCAAGACGCTTCTTGAGAAGCAGCATCGCTGGGCCTATGGCATCCAAGCCGAGGCCAGGCTAAACGGCTTCGAAGACCCTGGCAGGCCACTTTCAACATGGAAGCATTGGATAAAGTCCAAACTAGGCACAGTGAATCAATACAAACTGCATTAGTGCGGATGCTCAGTAGATCTCATTAGTATTTTTTCCTGTGAGGATACCAGGAAAACTTTTTCCACTTCTAATTGTCTCAAATCCAGCCGGGAGAAAGGCTTGAGAACTTCAAACTCCAGCTCGAACTCTTCGGAGGTATCGTTAGCATTTGTTGTGGTTCAATGGAGTTTCAAGAAGTAGTAGATAGGGATTTGCAGCCCTGGTTGTGTGACTAAGCAAGAACTTGCGCCTAATTCTGCCACTGTACCTTGTTTGTTTTCCAGGCTTTTCAAGAGACAGCTAAGATGTTGTAAACAAAACTAGGCCTTCAAAAATATTTAAACAAGACTAGGCGTTGCACAGGGTGTTGAAAGAGTTATATTTTCCAAGCTGTATATATGCTGCACAGCTATCTTCGCCACAGCGTCTTGAGGGTGTTACCCTCTTCGCGCAAGGTGACCCTGCCAACAGTGGCAAAACGGCTACTGGAACGCACACCTGCTCCCAAAGCATGGCTGACCACAGATGATCTCCTGCGCCCCGCTCCCCAAGAGACTTGGAAGCAAGTGAAAGCTTGCAGCTTGCAGAAGCACGCGGTTTGAGATGGCCCAAAAACCTGTTCCCTAAAACTAAGATAGAATTCTGGGCGAATCATCCAGCCGCCAGACACATGTCGCCCAAAGCAACAAAGTCGCAACGTTGACCGCCCAAAGCCACGCAACTCAGGAGGCTGTGCAGGGAGCTCTGGATGCAGGCATCACTTGCGTTTCATTGCCAAGGAAGCAGGCAGGGTTGGGGCGTCATGAAAACCGGGGAAGTGGTGTGAAGTCTCAAGCTTTGGCATTGCTTGGATCAGGGGGCGGGTAACTGGCAGATGATGAGAAATAATCATGAACGAATAAAGTTAAATGGGACTGACAGGGTCTATCACAGATGCATCTGGATGTCACGAGCAGATTCAGCTGATTTCGATGCAAGTCCCAACATTAAAGCATTTCGACCCAAGTCCCTGGGTTCGTCCAGGCCTTCTCAGACTTCGCAGCCTTGTATTTCAAAATGGCTGGTCTTACCGAGGCGAGGTCAGAAACTCGGAACGAGATGGCGGTTTCGGATCCGAAGATGTTCACAGGCACCCCCCGCTGGGCCTCCATTCTTGAAATCATCACCTCAAAAAGCTTCGCACATGCTGACAAACAAGAGAAACATCAAAAAGGTGTGTGCACATGTATAATCAATATATATATATATATATTATATAATATTATATTTCCTAGTAATTCATTAGAATTGAATAATAGAGAGAGAGAGAGAGAGCCCAACCAATTAATCTATTCTTGGTCTTCCCAGTCTTCTTGCTTAGCCCAAATGTGAATATCTTGTAAGTCCCTGTCTTCCAAACATGCAATGATATGTAAGTCCAATATCTTGTAGCAAGTTTAGTAAGATTCTCATTCTCTCTTGGCGCATCACAAGAACTTCTTCTAGTGTCATTGCAGGTCAGCAAAGTCATACTCATTCAATCGGGGTGGCTTACCAGCGACATCTCAACCAAAATGGCGCAAACTGGTGACAACGTTTGGAGCCCACAAGATAATTAGCCACACATTGTAGCTCAACACATCCAAGCCAAAACAAAGGTATGAGGCCTCCTCCAGCCACGTCCCCTGCCACGTCCCACGTCACTTTAGGCACCGGCCTTGGCTCATCTTCGCTGGGCCCAGCACCGGGGCCTTGCGAGCGTCCTGCCGCTCGAGCAGATCGTGGCGTCCTCCGGGAGTCAGGTGCGGGTGAGGAGGGGATGAGGGGCAACTGGTTTGGAGCCCACACGAGTCATGAGTTTAGCGCACTTTGCTTTTGAGCATGATACATAAACATGCATCCATCCGTCCATCCTTCCTTCCTTCTTTCCTTACATGCATACATACACAGTATGTGCATGGTGGTATTGGTATATTGAGGTATTGGTACGGGACGGCCTGAGCCGCAAGGGCAGCGAGGTGTTGTGTGGTTTTGATGCGTTCATGCTCGATCGAAGGGTGGAAACTCGCACAATGAAAGGGGGCCTTTCAAATCCAAGGCATGAGGACATGGGGATGAGTTGAAGCATGCCAAGACTCCTGCATGCTTGCGGGATCTGCTCTACAGCTTGCGACAACAGGGAGCTGTCGCGGCAAAATTTAAATCAATGAGCTATGTGTTCCCTTCTAGTAGCAAGAAATCTACTCCAGGTCCAGGATCATGCCCTGCTATCAGTTGTTTTATAGAACCACCTCAGATCAGATTTCTGCTCTATGGATCTGGCTTTGTGTTTTGTCAGATCCACAGAGCTCAGTGCTGAACACCAACTATCCCCAATATTGGATGCTGTGTTTAGCTCTTGGTTGTTCTCTAGTTCGAGTTAATTCATCTAAACATATTCTGGCACACGGCCATCACCATGGATGGCCGTCCAATTCCTTCCAAGAGGGTGTCGCAAGTGTCGCACAGGGAGGAGCCCTCGTCTATTGGAAGCTCCTCCAAGCCCCGGCTCACTCAGTGCCTCGATCGAGTCCACGGAAGAACGAGGGGAAAACGAAGTTCAGCAGCGAAAGAGTGTGAACGGGTGACTCTATGTGGATCTGATTGGTTTTGACTTGCTTGCAACCTGATTGGTCAAGACTTGCTTGTACTTCAGATTTTGAACTTCCATGAACTTCTAGCCTTCGTTTGTGTGGTCCGATTTGTGTGGAACTTTGGCCCCAATTCTAGCGCCCTTCCAGCCAGTGCGCTTGTCCGCCGATGTTTAGGTCGACCAATCCCAGCTGAAGCTTTATGATGCGGAGAATGGATATCCCTTGAAGGCATGGATACTGTAGAGTAGAGCGTTTTGTGATGGGGTTTGACTGTGAGAGGGTCTAGGACCGTTAGGAGAGGGTGAGTTTGCCCACGTCCGGTGACCATGAACCTCTGAGTTGTGGATTCTGGAACTATACCACTGGCTTTGCACGCGTTGTCGCGTGATACCCGCGTTGGACAGTCTTGGACAGCTGTCTATGTTCAACCCGCCATGGTCAACCCGCCTTGGTCGCTGTGAATGTTGGGCATTCGGGATCATTTCGGGCGAATGTCTATGTTTCTTTGGATGGATCTCCGACGTTGCGACTTGCTTCGCTCGCTGGGAGAGTAAATGCAAGTTCATGCAACTTCCACGCAAGATGCAAATGCATGGACTATGATGGACTCATATGGACTGAAAGGCATTGCAATTGGCACAAGCCTTAGGGGTTCGAGATTTGTAAAGGCGACCAGTCGCGACTGACTAGCTGCTTTTGCTTGACTGTCGCACCTAGGAAAAGCGTCATGGCGGGCGCCACTCATTCGTGTGTCCACTCATCGTGCGCGTGGCGCGTGCGCCACTCGCCGCCGAACAGGCCGCCTTGTATGAGGCGCGTTTGGGCTTGAAGAGCGGTGAGGCGGCGGTCGGTCCCCGGAGTCCGTCGTGGGTGTTGCACCGGTGTGCGTCGTGTTGTTGGAAGAACCGACGAAGTGTTGCGTCGGTTGCTTGGGGTTCCAGGTGGTTTTGAGACCAAGTCGATCTATCCGATCTTATTTGCAGTCGCCTGCACCTGGTTTACTGTTCCCGCATGTTCTGTTAGCGAAGGCTGTCTAAGACAACTATAGGCGGTGTAAGGGAAACTGAGTTTCCATGTGCTCCTTTACACGAGATAGATTTAGGCATTGATAAACTGATTGATGGGCAAAGGCTGGTGGTGGCCCTTGATACACAAGACATTCCTGCCCTAATTCAACGGGGAGTCCTAATTATGAGTGAGTCCACATGCAACTTTTCTGGACCGGAAGACTCTTGGGTCAACATCCAAGCAGAATACCAGGCGCCAAGACTTCAAGACACGGAAGGCATCCAATCCAAGACTGAAGGCTACACCGGGCCCCCCATTTTGGACATCCAAGCCATGGGATTCGACTCCAGCAGCGGTCCTTCCACCAGTTTCCCACATTGCATGTCCTCATGGGGGTTCCCCCATTCGCGCAGGGTAAGCTGAGCACATCTCCGCCAGAGAAGGTGCGAGAATGGGCTACAGAGTTGCAGAGGGTTTGATGTAGGTGTGGGGCAAAACCTAGAGACCTCCCCAAATAGCCCTACTGGGTGACATCCCCAGTCCATGAGAGTCCATGTGCAAGCCAGATGCTTTTGACCCATCTCCCATCACCATTTTCTACAATGTTTTACATGCCGCATATACCTGCTTTCTCATCCAAATGCGTGGAATCAGGAGCCGACCGTCTTCACCCCGGGTGTTTCGGAGAAGATCCTCACAGGCACAAGTCTCACCAGAATCAAACCAATAGGGAGGGATCTGAAAATTCCTGGCATATTTGGTGATATGTGGTGTAAAATGCCTCAGCCGGTGCTTTGTAAGGATATGATAGGGAGGGATCTTTGACTCAGGTGGAGCAGTTTCATTGAGCATCACATGTTCACGGAGCTGAACGCAAACCCTTCGGCAGCCGACAGAGAAGTCCAAGCAGCCGACCATGCGTGTAATTACACAGTATAGCATGGAGAGCCACAGAAATCCCACTGGATATGTGAGTCATCAGTTGCTTTCAGGTTTGAAGGAACAGGCGAAGGTCTTCAAGGCCCGAAGCCAATGGTGTGATCGCTTCGTTCGGGTGATACTGTAGTCACAGACATGTGTGATGCGATGTTGGGCACTCTCGTTGCGAGAATCTACCGGACATCCGGAGAGCGAGTCCCACATGAATAACTGATTTCATCTGATTTCTACGATTGGCAGGCGCCACAGCCCACTGCCTGCAGCGTGGATGAATGAAAGATAATGAACCTGACATGGCTCAGACTGAGCAGCCCAACCTATCAGCCAATAGGAGCCAACAACCGCGGCCGAAAGCGTGACCGAAATCCGAAAGCCAGGAACGGATTCAGAGGATAGACCTATAGTAGTTCCCCAAATAGATAGACATGGTGTCCTATACATTCTGTATGTGGGGATCTACTGTTCTATCTATTTGCGGGTCTATATACATTCATCCACAGTTAGTCAGTGATCAGCCGAAAATGCGTCCCTTTTCTTCCACAAGATGAAAACGATTCATCGGTTGCACCGGGCAGGCCAATGATCACATCATTTATGCCGAAGACTTCTTCGATACCGCCACGTTTGCAGCGATCAAGGCTGTTGCATTGTGTTGGGATGGAATTGCTCATGGGGAACTCTGCAGCATTTGGTAGCCGGTTGTCAATGGTAGGGAACTTTGAATCTACTTGCGGTCGAGTTGAACCATTCTCCCAGAGCAGCACCTGGCTGAAGACCGCTGAAGACCCTGGCCTTGGAACACGAAAAAGCTGGACCCCCCAAAACTGCGCACAATCAAACTTCGAGCCACAATTTGGGAGGTGATAATATATATGTATAATATATATATATTATATATAATATGTGTTTTTTGTGGCTCGGCCCCCTCGGTCGTGCTTCTTCCAGGAGGAAACTCAGAGGCTCTGGAGATCTGAAGACATTGAGGCCAGTGAGTGGAAGCCGCTGAACGGAGGTGGTCAGGCCGAGCTTGGAAGTCACAGGTGGCGAAAGAAAGCTGCGTCCCTAGGCAAGGGTCGCAGGCTGTTTTTTGCAGCTGCGATCCTTACTTAGTCGGATTTCATGTGGAAAAGGAATGACAAGGACTTGAGCAGATTCACTGAGGCCACTGGCCAATCCATGCAAGGGTCACCGTCCTTGAAGCCCATGTCGTAGCAGGTGTTCATAACATGTAATAGGTCCTAGAGACAGCCCTCTTTTTTTCCAGCTAAGCACCAGCATATGCATTGATGAGGTGTAGAAAAGCACCACAAATGGGAAGATAACGGTTCGGGTTCAAACGGACACGTCAGCATCAGCATGTCCAGAATGCCAAGTGGGCGTGTGATATTCGCTTTTCTGCACTTCTGCTGTACTGATGAGGCCAATTGCAACTTAGATGGCACGAATCGGCTTGGAGGCCACGCGAGTGACGGCAGTGCGAGGACGGTCCGGTCCAACGGGGTCCAACGGGCCGGACCGATCGTAGGCTACATCACGGACCTTCTGCCACACAACTCCAGCCTCTACCACCTGATCTACGGCCACCCAGCTGATTGGAATGCAGTCTCGGTTGGAAAGTCGTTTTTTTGCGGTGTTGATTCACACCCATCTTGTCCAAATCCAAGTTGCCAGAAGAGGACTTCAAGCATGCTAGAGCTAAAAGGGCATGTTCATGGATTTCTTGACTTCACGGTGAAGGGCGCACCCATGATCGTGTGAGTAAAAAAGCCGCAATCCTTTTGAGGCAATGACCCCTTCCGGCACTGGGTCTCTGCAGTGAACGATGAGGGGCCCATGTGGCCGTCAGACTTCCCGATCGAACTGCGCGAGTATGGGCCTGGATCTTGGACGGGTGGACGTAATTGGACGTAGGTGAATGAGGTTGCTGTGTTTGTGCTGTATTTGGTCTTTGTACGGTGATTCTGTAATTATTTATGTGTTTTCTTTTCGGATGTTTTCATGTAGAATGCTTACCAAGGAGCCAAAGCAAAGGAATGGGATGTCATCCTGACCTCCAGATGTACAAGGCCAGACAAAAACAGTGGCCAAATTGGGTTAGGACGAACCCAGTTTGCAGTTCAGAAACGCTGAAGGATGTGCCAAGCTGGCCTCCTTGGTGGCTTCACTGAACTGCAAAAGTTTCCCAGACCTTCCACCAGATGAACAGCGTCCAAACTTCCCAGGGATGTCTTTTTCTTTTCTATGGACACATCCACCACTACACAGACGGTCCGTGACGTGTAGACACTCCAGGTGCCACGAAAAGATTTGGAGTTTGCCTTCACCGTGGACAATGACTCGCGCTGCAATGTGGAAGCCACAGATGTTGAATTCGCCCAGTATCTGGATGTGTCCCACATCGAGGCGAATCAGACACCTTCGAAGGATAGCCGCCAACACGCACAGATCAGCACAGCCAGGGCCAGTGCAAGCCATGGCACACCCATGACCCCATTACACTTGCACTACGTGTAGTTTGTGAGTAGAAGTATTGCGTTGGAGCCTATACTATGATAGAAGACAACGTCGGAGAAGAGCACGTGAGCAGGACATGGATAGTCAAATGGCGGGACTTTCTCTCAGCATCGGACGTTTCAACTCTGACCGACTGTTTGCAGATTGCGTCAACACATCCACCCTATCAAGCCCGGTATACCAAGCCCTTAAACTCTGACTAACATGGTTACGTCGACGTGGATGGCATGGCCATGCCATCCCAAAAAAGAAACATCACAAACTGATCCATTTTCGTCCATGTGGATCCGGGATTGACGATGTGACAAACCAGTTGGCTCGAGAGAACTCCACCCAAAACTCAGGTGAGCTTTTGGGACGCGGCGGGGAAGCCGGGAGGGCCCAGACTCCGGCAGTGTTGGAGAAGAATCCAAGGAGTGCAGACAGTAGAATTGAATTACACTGAAATAAACTATACTAGTAAACTATATTGTATAAGTGATTAAGCATGTTTTAATTATATAATCATACATAATCACTAAGTGATTTTAAACTTACTATACTATGATCATTATTTCATTTTGTTGAAACAGGTGACACAGAGTGTTGTGTTTGTGTCTTTCTTTTCGTTTGCTTTTGGGAAGTTGTTGTCGAGGGGTGGTCCTTTGATCTTGACCTTTGCGTGGGTTTGACTTTGATCTTAGTCGTTGGGTTCATGTATTTAAATGATCGTCTTCTTTGACGTTGGGTGATTGTGTGGCGATTTGAGATACACTTTTTGCAAAAGACAACATCACCAAAAAGCATCACTGCGTCGATTGTAAAATCTTGATCAAAGAATCTCTCAGTTGGGGGTCGGGTTGCAGTGCAGACGGTGCAAAGGCTCTTTTGAGTGTACGTGTACTGTATTCCTGCTCCGGTTTTGTTTGACAACACCTGGACCTTATTGTTTGATTGCTTTGTGACTGATGGGCTTAGGATTGATCACAGTTCTCAAGGGTTAGTTGTTCTCCACTATGAATTATGCAGAGCTTTGGACGCACTTAAAAACACACATTAACATAATACGTGAACAAACATCGAGCATTTACCCCAAAACAGCACAAGACCTTGTAGCTGAGGTCCTCCTTTTAGGAGGCTAAAAAGGAAGGCGGGCCGATTTCTGAGGCTGCACCTGGTGCAAACCAAGCCGAATTCCTTGATGATGGTGGGACTTGAGCTCAGTCGAAGCCGAGAGAGACCACCGGTTAGTCCTCCGACCGTGCTGAGAGAGGCTGAGAGAGCAATCCGCTGAAACCGCTGAGGTGTCAATGCAGCCACGCATTGCGTGTCCTCAACGGAGGGTGGCACCCGCTCCATTTTGAAGTTCATTTATGCAACTTGGCACTACTTAAACAGATTGGAGCATGGACCAAAGTGGAGCACATGTGCCGCGACCGCGAATTGCCTTGGCGCCAGTAGTGTTTGCAAGGTCGGGGACTACCGGAAGTCTGACGAATTCTGGCATTACACCTCGTCCCAGCCTGAGAAATGCAGGGCACTGAAAATGCTTGCCCTTGTTATTGTTACCCTTTTGCTTAAATTTGGTTGTCGTTTGAAGTCCAGCAAGCATATTTTTCAGAACATCGTATCAACCCCATCATCACTTCCCCAAGGTTTAGGCGACATTTTGGTGTGTTCATTGGTGACAAATATACTTTTGTCAGGTTTATCATTAAGAATGATGACACCATTTGACTGTGTAAAGTGTAAAGGCCCTTGCCACAACCGCCTTATTCAGAGGCTCAGCGTTTTACCGCCAATCACCAACTTTACTCCTTCAAGCCAACATAGCCTGTGTTGGGCAGGCTCGGAAGATGTTGTTGGGTCAGCAAAGCCACAATCATGACAGACATCACGTGAATTGAACAATATATCCAAACACTGTACTTTGAGTTGAATCCAAATCCAAGTGAGACAACAACAACTGAGGAACGAATGCGATGATTCAAATCCAAATCGACAAATGCTTTCTGATCGAAGAGCTCAGCGACAGCGTGAGGCATGAGGAGCCGTTGGCGCGGTTGCGTGTCTTTTCACGACATCCATCTACATCAAATACTTCGAGAGTACGATTAAGTTTGCTCGTGGAGTTGCATCAACTATTAAATGTTTGCAACGTCGTAGATGAGACATCCAACACGTACCAATACCTTCTTGCATAGAGCCAACTCAACGGAAGCCCATATTTGTACAATCTGAAATGCATTGGGAATACTTGGAAATTGACACAACTGTATCCGCAGCTCATAGTTCATAAACATGTCAAGCTATTTCATAAGCCTCGTACTTCTAGTCGATGTTCCATTGGAATTGCACGACAGACGCATTGAATCGCTTGGCGCAAGGCACGATCATCATCATCAGAACTATGATGTCAAAAAAAATATGTAAATATTAAACAATGTGAATATGCAATGTATATAGTTGTGTATATTATAGACCACACAGATTTATATACATTCATATTGAATGGTCTTAGTAGTTAAGCTGGAATTATATGAGTATGTACAGGCAATATTGGGTGTGCTATGTTCAATTTTATATAGGTTATAATCTAATGACTAATGCAGACGTTTGATAACATATTGTTTACAGTATGTACTTGTGTGAGACATACATCTATACATCTGATGTGTTGAGTAAATGTACAATTTGTTTTGCATATATGTGTGTTGAATGTTTCAGTGAAATTATACTGTGACTTGCTTGTTAACGGTTTTCACATTGTGGGTTCAATTGCCGATCTCACAAAAGTACTTTAGGATACTTTAGAGCAAAACCCAACAGTTAGGTATATCATGCATTTGTTTGTGGAAGATTGAAGGGCATAATGCATTGCTGTTGCACAGTGCTAGTCTTGTACACATTTAGTTGGTCCAGTCTTTCAACTTCTATATCCGAAAGATGGTTTGAATATAGCAGCTGCCGTGTGTAGCTTCCAACTGGCTCAAGAGATCCAGCTGCAGGTGTTTTGGGTGGTCGTAGATGGCAGGCCATGGGTCAAGAGGTTTCAGTGCCGAGTGAGCGGGCGAACGGAGTGGCGACGCTTGTGAGGGACGGGTGAGACGGTCGTTGAGGGATGACGGAGCAGAGGTGATGTCTTCACACACCTACCTGGACCTTCATGCTGGTGCCAGTAGACCTTTGCACTAACATAATCATGAGGGCCAGTATCGGTGATCTATCTTCTGTCATTTTCTGTTGACCGCATACTTGGTAACTTGGTCACAATGCTTCCAACGGTTCTTGGAGGTCAACATTGTTCTTCCATGCTCTTCCATGTACTTCAGCTGCGGCTCCATGCGCGGGGTCGGTGGGGTCAGACTTGCGGATCAGGATGCACAAGTTGGGTAGACCGCTTCGGGGCCTCTTCCCCGCCAATTTGTCCTGCAATCGAACTCAATGTTGCTCGGGTTTCCAACTTTGATACACCTCAGGATTGCTTTCTGACACCCACTTTGCTGTAGGACTTGGAAGAGGGGCTGCAGGGAGCCTCAGCCAGAGTTCCAGATTCATCATCAACGGGTTGTTGTTTTGTTTTTTTGTTTGGGTGGGGGTTGTTGACAGCTTATTGTTGTTCGACAACTGGGTACTAAAATAGCTATGGAATATAGCAATGACAGTTATATAGCAATGGCTAAGAAGAAGCTATTGGCGGAAAAACACACGTCGCGTACCCGACCAGTCGGACGAACAGTGACGGTCGGCGACGTTCTCGGCTGCGCCGTGGAGTCAGAGTCGGATGCGCCAGTCAGGTGCACCTGTAGAGCCGTCAAGTGCCATCACGCTTCGACTGAAAAAAAACAAACTGAACGCCCAGTTACCAAGCGAAACACCTAATTCTATCGCCCTGTTCTGTTTGGGTCTCTTCTCCCACTGATCGCAGAACTGTTTGAGAGATATCTCCCAAGGCCTGCAGGTTTCGGCGGCCGCAAGAACGACGACGTCGACTCACGTTCGATTCGTTCGCGTTTCTCGGGCCGTCTCCATGTTTTCTTCCGGGAAGGTGCCGCGTTGATCCGGCTGTAGTGTTCCATGTAGACTTCTCAAGACTTTGAATCAACATGCTGCATGCTTTTAGAAACGATCGACCACTTGTTACGCTTGTTGCACATTGGCCTCCCCAAACCGCAGTGCGGCTGGTGCGTTTTTCGTGGATCAACTCGCCGGACCACCGGTGTTTCGGACCGCCGGTCGTCGTGAAGCGAACAGGAAGACGGTGGTCCTCGTCCATGGCTTGGCATCCTGCGCGCTGCGAGAGGCCACGGAAGGTGGGAGCAGCGGGGGGGATGGTGCAGGGGTGAGTTCATGATTTGGTGGGGGTGGTTGGGCCAAGAAAACCAAGGAAACACCAAAACCACCAAACATGTTAATGAACACATGTTAAACCAAACATATAGCAAGACTTCACATCTCTCTGACCGGCGCGATGTGACCATGGTTTTATTGAGCACGTGAGGTCCGTGAGGTGAGGTCCGGCACATCACACGAAGCACCACCCGGCCACGAGGTTCCGGCTTTTTGTGCGACTACTGCAAGGTGCTGCTGGCAGACGAAGCGACAAAGGTCTTGGTCGTTCATGAACAGGGCATTGCACCTTCTCTTATAGGTGTGTATTTGAATAATTAGGGAGACCCCCCAACCAATCCCAACGGGGCTTGGTCTATGTCCCTTCTTTTAGGGAGTCGAACTGGGGAGGCTCCCTGTTTTGATACGTACCTATATCTGGAGTGGTCAACTCCTGAGCGGTCTGGTGGGCCTGAGTTTGACCAACACAGGACGTTTGGAGTAACATCTGAAGGCATTTCCAAAGCAAGGGCGGTGATTTATGGAGCTGTTGTTCGCCTTAGAGGAAATTGGATCCGGCCCAATCGGAGCAGGTCTTTTTGGTAGCAACTGAACATTTCATCTCTCACAACTATATAGAGCTTGTTGGTTTCTCGTTGCTGTTAGTATTATATATATAATATCATTTAGACTGCAGTAGGACTCTCCTGTCTGCAAATAAGAGCCAAATAGAATGTGAATTATAGACAAATTTCCTGGTTGTCGTGCTTTTCTCCTGCGCTAGTTTTCGTTTGTAACAGACATGTTTTGTTGCAGTTGCTTGATTATCCTTGGGTGTCAGACACAACCGTGAATCTCCCTGAATCTCGTCATGATTCGATTGGTTGTACTCCCCCTCCTGACAGTTGATAGACATCCACAAGCACCCACAATCCCCAACCCGGTGGGAGGGCCGATGTCGGACGACCTCTGGAACCTCGGCACGTCAGGGGAGCGACAGTAAAGAGCGTCTCCTATGGGTGAGCATCAGTGAATTGGCCAAGCGGCCTCACATGGCCGGGCGGCCCTGTTCACGTTGATGCAGTTCTGCGGTTCTGCAGCGAACCATGGCGTGGCAGCGGATCGAGTGGCAGGCAATTCAAGGAAGTTGGAAGAGGAGAGGTGTTGTCTTCGCTTTTGGCTTTGGAAGGTAGAGCACCCTTGTTGGAAGTTTCTTGGATGTTTGTTGGATGTTTGGGCTATATCTTTTGCAGCCGGGAACACCGACTGTAACGCCTTATAATTCTTTCTAACAGACGTTGCCAATATGTGTTCCGTGTCCCTCGTTGGGCCTGTATGTGTCATTTCACGATGGGACTTCTGAGCTGTTTGATTTGTTTGTGGACTTGAACTCCAAAACACAGATAGCAGCCACCAAACCAACCTCAGTGCAGAACATGTTGTACAACCGAGCATAGTGGAGTAGGAACCCAGGATGACCATCTCGGGTGGCTTGCTTTGTTGCCTCGCTTGCTCTGGCATTTTGCTTGACTTTGGTTTCGTGATCACCTGCCATCACTCATGTGTGCATCCACTCCGAAACCTAGCACCCCTGGGGCACTCCACCCGGTGATTTGGAGAACCAACCAGCATGTCCTGTCCATGTCCATATCTCCACGCTATATCCATGCCATGTGAATGCCATGTCCATGTCATGCCCATTCCACATCCATGACGTATCCACACCATGTCCATGTCACGCCATGTCCATGCCATGTTCATGTCATGTCCGTGCGATGTCCATGTCACGCTCATATGCCCATGCCATGTCCTTGTGTCATGTTTCTTTGTGGCCATGTCCTGATCTTTTGACGCCCATGCCGTGTCCGTGCTCATGACCAAGCCATGTGTGTCTTTTAGGTCCATGTCATGGGAATGCCATGCCCATGTCACCACCATGCCATGTCCATGTCATGTACTGTAAATGCCATGCCCATGTCATGTCCAGGCCATGTCCATGTCATGGCATGCCATGTCCATGCCATGTCCTTGTCATGTGAATGCCATGCCCAATGTCATGTCCATGTGATGTCCTTGTCACGTGAATGCC